CCTGGATCACAACCTGTTCTCCTAAATTAGTTGGTTACAGGTTAAACGGAATCCTATAAATTACCCAAGTTCATTAACCTTTTGACCGATTTTTACGTAATTTGCCATTCTTATTTTACGTATCCGAATTTACCCAGTCACACTTGAGCCAAGGACGAAGTGGCTTCTCTGCTTCCTTCTTCAAGTCTCGTTGACTGTCAGTTATTGCGTATTTAAGTTTAGTATAGCTGACCGAGAAGACCTTAGCGTACTGCGCAGTGTTTTGGTATATGCGCGCCTAGAATATACCTCGGGATCATGATATAAAAATTCTCATGATGCTGTAATTTGAAGTATTGTTTACGAAATAGTCTACACCGCTTGCAATGCTTGCCTGTGAAAACACTTTAACTTGAAGTAATTTTTTATTCATCTTTTTGTTTTCGCTGACCAAATAATTTAGTACGGCCGCGTTCTGGTGCGTACTAGACGGAGCAAACTAGGTATGCTCTCCTGTCCTAAAAGAACGTCGCATTTTGACGTATGCAAAATTGACATAGTGTCCCGTTTCCTGTTTTGGCTCCTCTGGTAGGTTAGGATAAGGGCACTTTAGTATGACAGTTTCTTGACGTTGGGAAATCTTAGGAGGACGGGCTGGATGAACCCGGACATTACCACGTCGGTACAATAAATAAGCACGGAGGCAAGTCCAGACTGGTAAATGTGTGTCTGGGGAAATTATTAGTAGGAAACCAGTCTCGGTATGCAGGTCTGTGTCTTCAGGGGCTTGTCGCTAGTGTGTGTGCGTGTGTGTGCGTGTGTGCGTGTGTGTGCGTGTGTGCGTGTGTGTGTGTGTGTGTGTGTGTGTGTGTGTGTGTGTGTGTGTGTGTGTGTGTGTGTGTGTGTGTGTGTGTGTGTGTGTGTGTGTGTATGTGTGTGTGTGTGTGTAATTACCTCATTGTAATTACACGATAAGAGCTACTCGTGGTGTCCCGTCTTCCTAATAATCTGTCATATGACGCTTTGAATTTACCGATTATTTTGGCATCTACCGCGGCTTCTCACATGTTCCAACCGTCCACAGCTCTGTTCACAGAAGGTATTCTTATATTTTTTCGGCACGTTTGTTTCCTTGGCTTGAATCTGTGACCTCTGGTTTTTAAAATTTAATGTTTCAAAAATTCCTATTTGTACATTTTGCCTCTTCTGTTACTATTTTGTATTTTTTGGAATGACACATCAAGAGAAGAGGTTGGTTAACACTGGTTCAGTCAAACGGGAGAGAACGCCTTTGTTCTCATGTGGGGGTATACATATTTCTGAGTGTACCTGTTTGGTACACATTTCACCACCAAGTTCGCTGACCACAAGTCGCTGACCACAAGTCGCTGAAGACCGTATTCAATAACTCGCAATCAATATAATAAACGCACATTGAGAGATGGGCTCTTATTCTTAAGTTATACAACTTTACTGTGTAGTTAATTCCATGTGCTGACGACCCTGCAGTTTACATCAGTCGTCATCCTACGAACAGTATAATTATCACCAAAGATCAGCAAGTGGCCGAAAATATATACGCTTTGTAACTTGCAATAAGTTACCCCAAGGCGATCACCCTTCATGTGATCCGCACTCCGATCAAGAAGAACCTAATACTGAAAGAAAGAGCTGATCCATTAAATACGAGAAATTGGCAACGCAACACGCCCTCAAGAGTTGAATAAGCTGCGTTCCAAGCACTTGATCGTATCCAGAAAGGTTTAAGGGTTTTACGCCAGTGAGGCACCGTGCAACCAGATTCTCTAATCTTCATTCCATCAACTCTCCCGCAACATTGTATTACATATGTCAGGATAACCAAGGCCTTCTGAGGTCCAAAGAGCTGCTACGAGAAACAGTGTGGTTTTCTGACACTGATTGCCAATAAAAGGTCACGCAGGGTCCCTAATTTCGTTGTTACGCTGCAGTGGTTGATTTAATACTAACACCTGCAACCTTCATCACAAACTGCTGCACCACGGACAAAAGTATCGATAGAGTTCTTTTGACCGCTACCAACTGGAGAGTAACAGTGGCAATCATTGCTGACTACCACACTTGTTATCCAGAAGATGAAACCATGTACAAGGGCCGTCGTCCTAGCGGGCCGCCATTCAATGGACAAGTCTTCATCGACTTGTTGAGTACAAGGGTGCAAACACCATCGTGTGAAGGTTATCTTGAGATGATTTCGGGGCTTTAGTGTCCCCGCGGCCCGGTCCTCGACCAGGCCTCCACCCCCAGGAAGCAGCCCGTGACAGCTGACTAACTCCCAGGTACCTATTTACTGCTAGGTAACAGGGGCATTCAGGGTGAAAGAAACTTTGCCCATTTGTTTCTGCCTCGTGCGGGAATCGAACCCGCGCCACAGAATTGCGAGTCCTGCGCGCTATCCACCAGGCTACGAGGCCCCGAGGTGAAGCCGCTAGTCCCGCAAGAAAATTAAGAAGTCGATCGATGCATACAGACAGCCACTTACAGTTACCCCCAAGTTTCGTCCATAGTCATACAACATAACCCAGTGAAGGTTATTTACCCTTTCCTTAATGATTTTCACGAAATATTGAAAAAAGACTTTAGTTCCTGCTTGAAGGCTTAGAGAAAATGGCTTGCGTCTCATTTTCTTCACTTTTGCGTTCCCGAGAAAAGTTTAGTTTAGTTCATATGTTTAGCACCCGTACCCATCCTGTGAGCGGTGGTGGAAAAAAAAACTAGAGGAACATAATGTGCTCTGTGAACGGAACCTTAATATTCATTTAACTAAGCAAGTTACTTCATTAATGAACTAGTTATAGTTTGGTTGTATATATGACAACACTTTAGTAAGTAATGCAGATAGTTTCCCATAGTTTTTATGGGAATCGAACCTGCGCTACAAGACACCCTAGGACCCGCCTCCTAGCTAATGGTTTGGTGTTGGACTTAAGGCCTATCAATCTCTTGGGGTTATTACGATCATGGCAATTGCTTGTAGATCAACCAGCAAGAATATTTAGTCCTGAACACAGTCCAGGACTAAACACACTCACTCTCTCTCTCTCTAAATAATATATATATATATATATATATATATATATATATATATATATATATATATATATATATATATATATATATATTCTTGTTTTATTTATGTGTGTATTTATAAATGTATTTATTTCCCTGTTCTGCCCTATTTTCACCTGGTGTTTTTAAGTTCACTTGATGTTCGGTTTCTCAGCCGTGGCCACCATTGAAGCTGTGGATGAAGCTGGCACCAACACTTTTTTCATTGCATTTAACGATCAACAGCTAGCATATGAAAACCTCTTTACGTGTGTGTGTGTGTGTGTGTGTGTGTGTGTGTGTGTGGGGGGGTGTTCTGGGTACAACCTGTTCTTGACAGTGATGAGACCCCAGACCAAGCTTGCCGTCACTCTTCCTATCAGGACAATGAAGAGGAAGGAAGCTTTTAAGTCGGTGTTTTTTTTTTTTGTCATTGACTTACGAGCCTCATTTTCTAGGAAGAATTGTAAAGTACAAAAACATTCCCCAGAGTTGTGCAGTGTGTTTATATCCCACACAGGCAACAAGTTTTTTTTTTTTTTTTTTTTTTACAGACATTATATTTTATCCTTGTTGAAGATAACCGACGCAACTGTTCAGTTTCCTCTATTGCTAATATTTTATTGAGATAGTTGATTGGTTAATCGATGGCTTGATTGGGTAATTGGGTGATGTATTAGAGTACCCTTTGGCACTGTGGCAACTAGTTAGTTGTAGCCGTAGATGGTCAAGCAACACAATGAGGGATGAACTGTGTTGGGGGAATACAGCGTAAGGCTTACACTGCCTTGTGTTGATGGGACGGAAGGGGTGCTAGTGCTGCCTCCGGAGATGAGGCGGTGTATAACATACTGGATGATGAGATGTATATTATACTGCGATGAGCTGCATATAACACTAGAATATGAGAGATGAGGTGTATATCGTACTGGGATATGATGTGTATCATGCTGCAAGATGATGTGTATAGCACATTTTGAGATAAGGTGTACATACTTTGACCCAAATATCACAGTAACAAGGTTATCGCGAATAACCGAACTTAATTACGGGCTCACTATAGCCCGTGCTACGTTGACATTTCGTTCTGAGTAGCTCAATCTAAAACAACAACTGATTGATTGATGATTAAGCCACCCAAGAGGTGGCACGGGCTGTTGTTGTTGTAATTGTAGATTCAGCTACTCAAAACATAAAGTTCCAAGTAGCACGGGCTATGGTAAGCCCGTAAGGTCTTGTATGTGGTGATCATGTCTCCCCTAACTCTTCTCTCTTCCAGCGACATGAAGTTTAGTTCCCGTAGTCTTTCTTCGCAGCTCATACCTCTTCAGTTCGGATACTAGTCTGATGGCATACCTTTGAACCTTCTCCAGTTTAGTCTTGTGCTAGACTAAATACGGACTCCATGCTGGAGCTGCGTGCTCCAGTATTGGTCTGACATATATGGTATACAAAGTTCTAAATGATTCCTTACAAAACTTTTTAAAAACAGTTCGTATTTTGGCTAACCTGGCATGAGGCACTGATGATATCCTCTTGATGTGGGCTTCAGGGGATAGGTCCGGTATGATAGTAACCCCAGGTCTTTCTCTCTCCCTGATTCTTGAAGGATTTCATATCCCAAATGGTACGTATGTACCTGCTTAACTAAACCTATCTTCATTATTTTACATTTGCTCGAGTTAAACTCTAATAGCCATTTGTTAGACCAGTCCTTCAGTTTGTCCAGGTCCGCCGTCATTTCTTCACTTTCTGATGTGTAGTTTGGATATCATATCTTCAGCCACGTTATTGTGACTCATCGCCTGCACAAGAAATAATCAATCATCGACACTAGAATCAAATGTTCTAATTCATAGATAATCTTCATTTTAAATATTCATGTTTCTAATTAAACTTTTACTAAATTGAGTTATGAATGGTTGTGGGGACAGGATATGATTGACGTGGGCTGGGGGTGCTTGGGAGGAGATGGGAGGGCGCCCCTGACGGAGAAGATCAGGGAGGTGCAGAGGCTGAGGAAGACAGGTAACCTGCCGCCCGTCTACCCCAACGGCTGGTTCGCCGTCATAGAGTCCAGACAGCTCGCCAGGGCTCAGGTACTCCACGTTGTGTGTGTTCTACACGACACTACCCAACACTCATTCATCTCATTTGTTACTATTTTACTACCGTCATTATCTTGTCTTGCTACCTATGACGGTGTTTTAAAATAAATGTTAATGATTTGCGGCTATTTATTAAAACACCCACACACATACACGTATATATAAAAACATATAGTCTATAAAAACATATATATTGCATATAGTCCTGGGGACCATTCAGGCGTGTTCGCACACGTATATATAAGTTTAATATAATGTAGTTCACTTTCTTTTAATAAGAGTTTTAGTAAGAAAGATTATAATGTGTGTGAACGTCAGGTGGTGCCAGTGCAGATGTTCGGGGAGACGCTGGCGGTGTTCCGGGGCGAGGATGGGTCTGCCCACGTCACTGACGCCTACTGCCCGCACATCGGTGCCAACATGGCGGTGGGTGGTGTGGTCAAGGGGGACTGTCTCGAGTGCCCCTTCCATGGCTGGCTGTTCAGGGGCTCTGATGGCGCCTGCGTCCACATTCCCTACTCTGCCAAAGGTCAGTCACCACATACACCAGCGACTTCATTCACGCACATTGTATGTTCAGCCACCGTCGACAACGTCGGGTTGTCAACGTTGCTTCAGTATCGGGTGAACGTGGTGAGCGGGAATATAAACCTGAGAAAGGAAAGTTTATTTTAGTAACGTTACTTATTAAATTAAAGTAGTACTGGTTAATACGTGAGAGTATACTACTAGCACCGGCTGGAGCACGCGAACTAAGAGATGTATTCCTCGGGCAGTACCTAAGACGGCTCGGGTGAAGCGGTGGGAGAGCCAAGAAGTGAATGGATTCGTCTTCGTGTGGCACGACGCTGAGGGCCGCCCGCCGATGTGGCACTTACCAGAGGTCCAGCAGATCACCGACGGCTCCTGGATCTTCCGCGGCCGCACTGTTCATCATATCCTCGCTCACATCCAGGTAATATGCTCTATCTCTCTCAAAGGAAGTTCCGCCATTCTAGACGGGGGGCGATATTATTTTAAAGAAAAGCTAACTAGGGCGTTCCCTGGAAATAATTCAGGGTCGTACATAGATAAACATTCGGATTTCATGGACAACCGAAAGGAGACGATTTCTGATTTCGCTCTTCATGATGTTTAAATGAGGAAAAATTAAATAAAAAAATTACTCAAAAATACATTTACATAAGATTAGAATTAGTCTATCAATCTCTTGCAGAACTAGTTACCTTGGGGTTCCGCGGAGCCAAGATTAACAAACTAATAAATCACATTTTACTGAACTAAATAATATTTTGGTGCTTTGATGTGAAATAATGACGAAAAGAGTTATTAGAAGCAATCATTGGTGAAGCATAAACTGTGATGCAGCTCTGCTGCCGACATGTAATTGTAATACATAAAGTTAGTGTGTGTAAGTTAAAGACAAAAAAATAAAAATGGTGTTTTGGTGGTAGGAGATACCCGAGAACGGCGCTGACCTGGCTCACCTGGGCCACCTGCATGTGCCTAGTGTCTTCAAGGGCTCTGATCTGAGATACGTCTTTGCAAACAGCCAGGTATGTTGGGTCCTTGTCTCTTCCTCCGTTCTTGTTGGGGTAAGCCAGTCTAGGGACCAGTTCTGCTTAATAACGCACAAATATGAATATAAATGTTAATAAATATAATTTACAACCAATTATATGTCGTATATTAATGGCTATGTGTAGCATGAACTTGGTGATATTAGTAAATACGATATAACTCCTTAAAGTTCCAAATAAAATAATGTCCTGAATGAAGCTGGAATATCTAACTGACAAAACTATTTACATCTAGCTGGCCTAAATATATGCAAGTCCTCCCTGACCATATTGCAGTTGTTTGACTTCGCCAAACACACGTGGAGAGGCGAGTGGCAAGTGCGGCCGGCGCCGGAGTCCCACACGGCGGACCTCAAAGTCACCCACGCCTTCTCTCTCTTCGGCGGCAAGTTCAAACTCTTCACAATGGTCGTCAAGGCGGAGCAGGTGAACATAATCACTTGAGCATATTTACTTTAAGTGTTCAATTGGTGATTCATTGGGTTATGATAATTGGTGACCCAAGGGGGTCTCTTTGAGTGTAATAAGTATGTATTTCAAGGCGCCTCTGGGCGTAGTAAGCTGGTGATCGAATGGGGCTTTATATGTAGTATTTAGATTATTTGCCCTTTCGATGAATAAATTTATATGAAACAATTATAAAAGTGCTGATTAATTATATTAAATTATGTTTCAATCGAAAGTTTAAGTTAATGTGGATTATCTCCAAATACTGGTACCAGTAATGACTCAAATTTTAATTCAAAATTATATTAAACAATATTAACACTGCATTTAAACAAAATTGAATTTCAGTACAATATTTCTTGCCATCACTATATTAGACATTTTACCTTCAATAATTGCTGCCATAGTTACTTTATATGTAATTTACTGCCTTGAAAATATGTGACACCTAAGACGAGTGTGTGTGTTGGTTGGTGGCGCGTCTGGGGTCATCCCAAAACGTAGGTTCGAACCCTCATCATGGCCCTTGTGGATTTGTTCATTTGGCGGTGGTGTTAACAGATTGGACCTGGTGTGGTGCACCTGCACTTTAACACGGGTCTGGGCTCCGGAGTGCTTGTCCAGACCGTCACACCGATGGAGCCGCTCAGACAGAGAGTCGTCCACCAGTTCTTCTCCTCCAGAACCTTCATCGCACCCTATGCCAAGTTCGTCCTCTTATCGGAGGCCCGCCACGTAAGTCTCCACCAGTGATTAAATGCTATCAAAATCTTTATATTATCTCTCAAGGCGTTAAGATATGAGGTAACTGCCATTATCTCGACCGGTGATTAAAACTTTGTAAGTAATCATCTTAGTGATATCAAAATGTTGCAACTTTCAACACCTTACCCTATAGTGTGAGTCAATGAAGGAAGCAGTTTGTCACGTCTTATGCGTCCTTGGACATTTTCCCATGCTATTTTCATAAAACAAATTATCCTGTTCTTTAATACATTTTCCTTCCTGATAACATTTTAAAAGCATAACGCCAGGGGTGTTCTTATACTCCCACACACTTTACAGTAGGCCTAGTTTACACTCTGTTTCCTCTCTTGGGGCTGGTGTGCAGCCTGCCCTGCACACTAGTAAGCTGAACGTTCAACACCATCTCCACTCCTGTGTTCCCAGTGTCCTCCCCACACACATGTGTTTCCAGTGTCCTCCCCCACACACACGTGTGTTCCAAGTGTCCTCCCCCACACACACGTGTGTTCCTAGTGTCCTCCCCCACACACACATGTGTTCCCAGTGTCCTCCCCCACACACACATGTGTTCCCAGTGTCCTCCCCACACACACATGTGTTTCCAGTGTCCTCCCCCACACACACGTGTGTTCCAAGTGTCCTCCCCCACACACACGTGTGTTCCTAGTGTCCTCCCCCACACACACATGTGTTCCCAGTGTCCTCCCCCACACACACATGTGTTCCCAGTGCCCTCCCCCACACACACATGTGTTCCCAGTGTCCTCCCCCACACACACGTGTGTTCCTAGTGTCCTCCCCCACACACATGTGTTCCCAGTGTCCTCCCCCACACACACATGTGTTCCCAGTGTCCTCCCCCACACACACATGTGTTTCCAGTGTCCTCCCCCACACACACGTGTGTTCCTAGTGTCCTCCCCCACACACATGTGTTCCCAGTGTCCTCCCCCACACACACATGTGTTCCCAGTGTCCTCCCCACACACACATGTGTTCCCAGTGTCCTCCCCCACACACACATGTGTTCCCAGTGTCCTCCCCACACACACATGTGTTCCCAGTGTCCTCTTCCACACACACACATGTGTTCCCAGTGTCCTCCCCCACACACACATGTGTTCCCAGTGTCCTCCCCACACACACATGTGTTCCCAGTGTCCTCCACACACACACACATGTGTTCCCAGTGTCCTCCCCACACACACATGTGTTCCCAGTGTCCTCCCCCACACACACACGTGTGTTCCTAGTGTCCTCCCCCACACACACACATGTGTTTCCAGTGTCCTCCCCCACACACACGTGTGTTCCTAGTGTCCTCCCCCACACACATGTGTTCCCAGTGTCCTCCCCCACACACACGTGTGTTCCCAGTGTCCTCCCCACACACACATGTGTTCCCAGTGTCCTCCCCCACACACACATGTGTTTCCAGTGTCCTCCCCCACACACACGTGTGTTCCTAGTGTCCTCCCCCACACACATGTGTTCCCAGTGTCCTCCCCCACACACACATGTGTTCACAGTGTCCTCCACACACACACACGTGTTACCAGTGTCCTCCCCCACACACATGTGTTCCCAGTGTCCTCCCCCACACACACATGTGTTCCCAGTGTCCTCCACACACACACATGTGTTCCCAGTGTCCTCCTCCACACACACATGTGTTCCCAGTGTCCTCCCCACACACACATGTGTTATTCTAAGACAAATATTTTTAGAATATTTGTTTAATCAAGTGTTCGACTCATATACAGTAATACTTCCTAAACTAACATTTAAACTATGTGTATTCTAACCAAGATGTTTAACGTAAGTACCGCTTTTTTAATTCCTAAATTAAATAATATAATAATTGTTTATAAATTTCTAACCTTATTGCTACATTCATTTTCATTTTTTTTCCAGTTTGAGCGCGATATAATGATCTGGAACAACAAGCAATACTTGTCACATCCACTGTTGGTGTCTGAGGACCGTCTCATTCTTAGATTTCGTCGATGGTATACCCAGTTTTACTCTGAAAATAGTCCCAAATTTACCTTCAAGAAGGAAAGCATGGATTGGTAATTTAGGATTGAAAAGTAACCGGGCGCAAAGTATAATATAAAAGGGAATTTAAGGATGTAAATCTAAAGGGTCATTTATAATGGACAGTATGGATGGAAACAAACAAATTCGGAAAAGTAACCTGGGATTACAACATCGAATTAATATTTTGGACGGAAGTTGATCTATCAAAGCCGGATATCCGGAATTTTAAATGGACCCATTGTGGATCTTAATTTACACTGTAAGCTGAACCATCTGCAATGGAAAACCTTAAAGGAAAATTTTGGAATGGAAACAGTCCTAGATGGAACGTTAGTGTATGACAGAAAAAAACAAAAGCCAATCCGGATTTGAATGTAGAATGTAAACAGATCAGTAAGGAAGGATAGCCTATAATGACAATTAAGGATGTAAGGAAACCCACCAAATGATTAACAGTGTTGCCTGTTACATGTATGTGTACTCCTCTATTTGTGCTTGCAGGATCGATCTTTAGCTCTTGGTCCCCCTCCTCTCCAGGCACCAGTTGTCTTATCCATAAACTATACATATTTTTCTGTCAAATCTACTTTGATATTATGAATGACGTTCGCTTCTACAACCTGCATTTATTTATTTCTATTTTCCTTCAACTTATATGCTGAAAAGAATTTAGGATCTTTATGAGTCATC